ATTTCCTGAAAGTTTCATGCTTGTATCACAATTTGCACTATTTTCTCAATTTCCCGCCCCACTATTAATAGAGAATAACATGCTACTGTCTTTTGATATCAATTTTATCAGGCTCGGCTGATATGGGCTAGAAAGGGCTTGTCGAGCCCTTTCTGCCCATATCAGTTGAGCCTGATAAAATTGATATCATAAGACAGTTGCATGTTTTTCTATTTATCATGTTACACATAAAACTGTCAATTTGAAAATAACAAAATAGTCTACTTTAAATAGCGAATTTCGTAAAAAAGGGTATTTTTGTTCAAAGAAATAATTCTTGAAAACAAATTCATCCGCCCCTGAAAGAATTTGTAAATGGCAGCCACTTTTCTTTCGCCTCGGATAAAATTAAAAGAAACAACAGAATGTAGGCCTAACACGATAAAAATTATTACCTTTAATTTAAACATCGATTCAAAAAATCCCTTAGAATCACATAAACTTTACTGCACTTTTTGTCTTGAATTGTCAAATTATTTCAATATTTAACACAAGTCAAATCGGCAATCAAACACAAGCTACACAAACATGCGTCTTATTTTTTAAACGAAACAATTTGTTCACTTATTTAATAATAATCTGGCAAAATAAAGTAAACATTTACAAGTTCTCAAAGAAAATCGTCTAGCCTGTTTGTTATGATTACATGTATAATATGACGTGAACATTGACGATGTCATTTGCAATATAAATTATGATGTCACTTCATTTAGTTCGTGTTAAAACTATTCGCTATCTAATTTAGTCGTAATTGAAATTGAAACAATAAATAAATAAATATCGCATCTTGATTCAAGGCTTGTATGGGTATGAGATTACATTGTAGAATTTACATGCTGATGAAAATGAGAATATAAGCAATTGAAAAAAGTCCGTTAAAAATGGGCTGGGCTTATTTTTGATATCAGGTTACTGACCTGATATCAAAAATAATTATCAGGCAAATGTTATCGGGCATTTACCATAGCAGTTGCATGAAAAATTTAGATATTTTGTGTTTGTTTGGTTATTATATTAAGATGTTTGTGTTTGTTCCTTACTATTTTACATATTTGAGTTTGTTTCTTATAAGATATTTTTAAGTTTTTGTTGTTGTTGTTAATATATTATTAATACATTTGAGTTTGTTTTAATAATATACTTATGTTTGGTTTTGCTTATTATGAGATATGTGTTTGATGCCTATAATAAGATAATTTGTGTTTGTTGCTGAATATATTTGAGTTTATTTTTTATAAGATATCTGCAGTTGTTGCTTATTATGAGATGTTTGTCTTTTTTACTTTTTATAAGTCATTTGTGTTTGTAACTTATAACGAGATATTTGTGTTTTGATTTTTTTATTATTGAAAACTAGCAACAGGACCGATATGGAACACTGGTACCTCGCATACATTCGATAAAGCGGTCACAACCTTGTCAGCAACTTCGACAGACAGTTCGACCGTTACAAACAGGTACCTACGGACAATATCATACTAGTATATTTTAATGAATTAAGATTGTATTTTATCTTGACAAAAGGTTGTCATATTCATTTTTTTAAATAATTAGCTACATTGTACAACACTTAGGTGGATACTGGTTTTGTTTTCATCAAAATGTCATTTTAAAGTATTAAAAATACTTAATATTTAAGGTATAAAAAGTCGCCCCAGAATATGAATTATGTGTTTACATCTTTTGAACAGTATCATATACCTTGAACTTGCTGCATTTATGCAACTGTAATAGGGCATCACTGTTTCATGTAAGATTTGGAGCAATCTGTCGGAAACATTAAAGGATTTCAATATCAAACACATAAAGATATGAGCAAATGAAAGGCTCCAATGAGCTGACAAGGGCCAATCAATTACATTACCGACGGTGGAGGGAACATGTTATTATAAAAAAAATGGTGAAGAACTGTATATTGCCGGTTTTTTATTTCTCAAAATAATGAAACGGAAAACTGCACAAATTGTATGTAATCATCATGCTTTTATTTCCAAAAAGAAGTAGTCGGAATGCAATTTTTAGACTGCAAGTAGCAGAATATACAGACGAGTATGAATTACAGAAATAGCATTTAACCCAACATAAACTTATTCAGTCTAATGTTCTAAGTCAGTTATAACTACATGATGGAATGATATTGTGGTTTCCTGAGAATAATATGTCAGTTCATACAAAAATGTTTAAGTGTTAAATTGTATCCAATATACATGTACATGTACTTATTGAATTAAAGAAACACGCATCAAGGATCACGCATGTAAAACTGTTGGGCAAAAAAAAGAAGTCAAGAGGCCATTATACATTGTTAAGAACAATACTGATTCAACTTACCCATTGTGTTATATATAGTAACTTTATAAAAATGTATTTACACATTTCGTTTTTACTTTACAGGGCCAATAATAATGTTTCGACAGATATAACATTGACTATCACTGTAACAGGCCTTAGCGGTAAGTAGAATTTAAAAATAATTATGAACTTTGTAATATATAGGAACCAACTGTTTTTGATGCAATGTTATAAATGGAATTATACAGTAAGAGTGAGTTAGTTCTTGATGGTGGTGCTTTGGAAACAACAACTGTATATATATATACTCGATTCCTTGTGTGACTCTCATGTATAAAAATGTAGGTTTTGGGAAATACAGATTCTTCAGTTCGTTAAATTTCCCAAAACCTGCTTATATGTATGAACACTTAAATGCGGTTATTTAATAAAATGCACTACTGATGTCATTATGTAACAGCTTTCGTTATGATAATAACATGAACTGCTTCATGTGTTTTCTGGCGTATATATTCTCGGTTGAGAGTGTTAGTCATTTATCATTTACACTACCATTTTATGTATAAAATATTGCATTTTTATAAAGCAGCGCTTACGATATTAATTACGAATTTCCAAATATCGAGATAATCATAATTAGCAACTTTATTTGCAATAATAAATGTTTAATCGCCACAAACGATTTTATGTTTTTTACTGCGTTTAGTGGTGTATTTGAATTATGAGTTAATTATAGTGAAAGTGACAGATACAGACTGTATAAAAGATACTGCAAACCAGTGTGAAGATATCCCAAATGCAGAATGTGACAATGCTGCAACTGGTGCTAAATGTAAATGCTCCGATGGTTATGCAGCAGATAGAAATACTGGCACTTCCTGTGTGAAAAGTAAGTAAAATTTAAAATCCTAACTTGTTTAAACAGCTATGCTCTATTGCAAGTTCATCACCAATTTATAAAGTTAGTATCGTTATCAGTCATGAACAACAATTATATTTAACATATTGCATGTATATGATTTACAAGTAATAAAAGTAATCACAGTAATATTCTGAAGGTGAACCATTTAACTTTTATTGTATCACAATAAAACTCACAATACTGTTCTAGTAGTGGAACATATATATTTATGACCTGAGTCTGCTTATGAGACTTTTAAAATGCCTGTTTTCAAGATCTTACATTACGTATTTAAAGCTGTTAGCGGCACAACTTGTACATCGGGTGGAAAAGAATGCGATGTCATTAAAAACTCACATTGTGTGTCCACAAAGTGCCAATGCGACGATGGCTTTGCAATGTATGTTGATGTTTGTGTGGCAGTAAGTTCAGGTAAAGATAATGTTTGTAAATATATGTGTATATGTGGAAAAGGACGGCATGATTTTCAAATATCATATATCAGATTATTTCGCGAGTTTCTTATTTTTGCTATATTTGAGTGCACTAAATATCGTGAAAAATAGACCTGCCTAGGTTTAGTATAATTCTACAAATAAAGTTGACTAGTTTCTGTGACTTGGCGTCTTTGGTTCGTTTTTTCTACCCTGCAAAGACTTAAATATATCGTGGTGTCTAGGTGTAAAATACCAAATTATATTTTAGTACCATACAATGTATTTGTATTTTTAGATATCTTAAAGTCAAATGCTTGTTTAATGTACTATACAGATTAAGTGACAAGTAAGCGAAGACAGATTATGGTATTGCTTGTGTTATTGATTAAACACACACACACAAACACACACACGCACACACACACACCAACGCGCACGCGCACACACACACAACTTATTATAGAAAATAACAACTACAGGTTAAACCTTCTTCTTGTTGGTACAGGGTGTATCAAAGTATCGTTGAATATTGGAGCATATTAAAGTCCCTTTACTAATTACTAATAGAAATAATGTGTAAAAACAAGTCAAATACAAACAAAATAACTTCGGACGGTGATAAGGCGTGCGATTTAGATGGTCACTGCCAAAATCGCAAAATTTCCGGACGAAAGATAGCCTGATATACGTTGAACAAAATGAAATGACGAATGATTAATATTGTCAAGAAGAAAAAAAGAAACATAAAAAGTAAAGGAAAAGGAAAAATCACGCGGAGAAATGGTTTACAGTATATCAAAATAATGTCATCATCGTAAAATCCAAACATGTAGCCTGTAAGCTTTTCGTCATGATAAGATTCTTCATATTTGATACGGAAAAGTTTCTATTTGGCTTTAAAGGGAGACACAGGCAAAATTTTCATTTCTTAGTTTTGGATTTTTCATTCATTATTATGTTACTGTCCCGAAAGTGAATACATTGGACAGTCAAAAGAACAAAACTTTTCTCCGTGTAAAAATAAAATGGTGGTTTCCTAACTTGACCCGCGTGGGTCAGGTTAGAGCACTAGGATTTCACAAAAGTTGTCACGGTGAACTCTGGAAACGTTAAAGAACATGTCAAATGAATGACTTAGACTTGTTTCAATCCTACAATATCCACAATATCTGTTATTGTAACTTCAAGGGTTTATTTAAGTGACATGACTTGTTTTAAAACTATTCGGTGATTTTATTGGCGTCTAAATTTTGTTCAATAAAATAGATATATTTACGCTTCAAACCCAATATATGTAGAATTTAAACAGAAATCCATGCTGGAACTATAAGAAATGTCATTTTAGCGTGATTTGAGTACATAAGATCATTTTGATAGTTTTGTCATTATTTTGCCTGAATATCCCTTTAAAAATATTCCTCGTTATTCCGGCAAAAAAAGCCTTCACTTTTATCCAAAATATCAACAGGTTTATCAAGTTAAGTTGTTTATGGTTGTTAAAAAGTATTTAATGATGTTTGTTTCTAGCTCTTTCTTTTCATCAATTATAACAATTATAAGGTACAAGTCATACGGTGTTTAAGTTAAGATCATAAGAAATTGTTTACATACAAAACTTAATGATATTTAATGTTTTTGTTACAGCTATATTTCTTCACTTTGGCAGTTTGACGTTGTTCTTCTTTGTTTCAACTATGGTTCGACACTTATTCTGGTAAATAATTGCACGGTATTCTTGATACATCTTTTCATTATACATGTATATATAATACCGATATAATACATAATTTATCCTCATCATTTCCGTGTTTATAAAATAAATATCTTATTATTGAATACCTATTTTGAGTCGATTATCGTTTCCATTAAAGAATATAAACTGTTTAAATATCTGATGAAAATATCACTGTAGATTGTAAAAAATGCAACGTACCGAAACATGTGCAGTTATCTTTTTCAGATTGTGAGTCATTAACACTTATGATATCTATTAATTGGTGATTTTTTCTTTCAAACTTGTGTATCGTATGTACGTCTTTAGATTTTTGAAGTGTGTGATGTATAATTAAAATTGATTCATTTGATCAAGAGAAGAACTTTCTTTTTTATTCCTAAAGATGTTAACCTGACATTTTACGTTTTAAAGTGACATTATGCCTATTTAAATGCAATGCAAATTCACAGTGAATATGAAGTATTAGTCAGTCATTATGATTAAAGATATTCTTTTGAATATATAATATATTTGTTATTATTAAACTATACTAATTCAACTCAAATTGACAGCGAACAAAAATGCATTATGTTACTTTAATGCTCTTATATTAAAAAAACAAAACTTGTTTGTGTTTTCTATATCTATAAAAATGAAATATACATGTATATATCAACTGTCTTATTATTGTTATATTTTCTGGTCCTTCGGGATCATTGATGCCAACACACTATAGTGTTTGAGAATTGAGTACCGCTCAAGCCGGTGATAGGGGGCGTGAGGGATGATGCACTTATTCATTATCCCTCATTGTACAGACTCAATCAAACCGAGTCTGCAATTCTTATGTTATTTTGTTGTGATTAATGCTTCGAGGGATCACTTTGTTTCCAGAATTTTTTAAAACATTCTTCTTGCTTGTAACATTGAATTAAACTTTATAAAGCTTTATGTTAAAACGGACATTGACATAGATATTTATTGTGACCCCACTGTAAAGTTTAGTATGTTATTTAGTATTAAATTGCTTGCCATCAATTTTTAATTGTTGATGAAACAGACTCAAATAGCAATTTTGACATACATTTATATTGTTACAGTAATTTTGTTTCAGATTATTATATGTTGAATAATTTTTAATAACATTTAATGCATCGAAATTTGAACAAATTTGTTAACTGAACTTACAATGCTATTATTTCTAATCATGGACATTTTTTTTTAACGATAAGCAATTGTTGGCTGACGAGCGTTAAATAATTATTTGTACATATTACTATAATGATCAAAGATTTGATTTGATTTTAATTATTCAGAAAAATTTGCAAGTACAATAATAAATAGCAAAGATAAAGTTTATTACATACATAAGGCTTTACCATCTCAAACACGATAATATGTTAATATAAATGTATGAAACATACATTGTCCACTTAATAAAATGTTGTTTACTGAAAGCATCGAGGTTTTATTTGTTTGTCCCTGTATTGTACTATTGTCTTATTTTTTAATTCATTAATTCAACCTATCATACAATATCACTAAGAGTACTAACAATACATGCCTTACAATTTGTGTTTAAATGGTAGCACGGTGAAATTATAATCAAAAAGAGTTATAATCATAAATGGCGACATGGCCGAATAGTTTACGCGTGTGACTAGTAATCTAATGATCATAAGCCGCATTAGTGAAGCAAGTCGTTATGTCCTTGAACAAGAAACTTTACACTCATTGTTCAGTACTAGTCGGTTCCAGGAACTGATTCGAAAGTGTGTCTATCAGATTATAGTATTTATAATATTCCTACACAATGGAACTAAAATAAATTCTGCATAAACAAACATGTATATTTTAAGGTCATGATCTCTGGTTCGGTTCCAGGAACTGATTCGAAAGTGTATCTATAATTATATGATTATAGCTTCCTACACAATTGGAACTAAAATAAATTCTGCATAAAGAAACATGTATATTTTAAGGTCATGATTCACACTTGAATTATTCAACGGGTCTTTTGTCAAGTGTCACATGTTAAAACAGCCATAAAATATCCACATTCACTTGTTATCGACTGGAAATATTTGTGTCTACTTACATCAATAGCAACTTCGTCCGTAGGACCTTAAAACCACTCACAAGCAAATAGTATACATGAGCTTGGCTATAATATTAAATTTGAATTAGCTATTTTCAGTATCAATGGCATTGACCTACTGGTATGACCTAAAAAAGCAGAAGTTAATTGTTCGCATTTGAAAAATGGGGAAGATTATTAGGACTTCGTATGAATGCAAACTTAAAATATGATTATTATATTTGTAAAAGGCCCGGAATATTATTACTTCGGTTTTGAAACAATAAAGCCTATAATAAACAAACAGTGAAAACAACAACCAAATGAAGCACACATATGGACAGAGACATGTACTATTAGTACTATGGTTAAACAAGTGCTACTAAACCGTATAAATATAGATTACGTTTTATTTACATTGTGCCTGTCAATTTATTTCCGATATTTCCCCGCAAATCGCAATATATTATATGCTTTAGAAGAAAATATTTTTCATTAATTCTGTTACCCCTGACAACGGTACTAAATCTTAGTCTATTAGTTTATCGGCTATTTGGAGTTTTGAGTTTTGATGCGTATGAATTGACCACGAAGGCCGTTGGACTGAGTTGGTTAATTTCTTCGCATGAAAAAAAAAAAAATCAAAAACGACAAAGAATCAAGAAGAATCGCGCACGTGATCATGGCGGAAAAACTTCTTTGTTTTCGCTCCGTTGAAAAATGTGAAATAATATAGTTTATTTCGTTTTTTTTTTGGAGGATAGTTATTCTGTTGGATTTGGGTTTTATATTGGATTGTTAACCATGATGATAAGTAAGATATAACATTTAAAGCTTTGGTATTGAATTAGAAGAAATTTTTTTTGATGTTTTGTTTTTTTTTTTTTTTTTTTTTTTTTTTCAGTTTTTTTTTTTTTTTTTTTCTTTTTTTTTTTCAAAGTCTTTTCTTTTTTTTCGCGTTTCTTTTTATGTTTTTTCTTTTTTTTCACACGATTTCAATGATCCTTTACAATAGTTAATCTATTTTTAAACTTATGAACGTATTAGTATTTTAAAAGTAACCAATAGAACATACAGTTCCTAAACCCATCAATATATTTTTACTGTTTAGAAAACATTTTTTTGCCACTTTATGTAAATCTTTTGAAAACTTATACCCAACAAGTAAAACAAAAAAAAACGAAAATTTCCGCCCTTTGCCGTTTAAAAATTTGAATAAAAACGCTTTTTCCGGGCATAGCGATGGCCCCTTTGAAAAACAAGTACCACAAAACGTTTTTTTTGGGGACGGGAAAAGATCTCAAAAAAAAATAGCAAGACCGCCCTTTAAAAGTCCTTTTTAAAAACGAAATACCCCGGTTTTAAAGGCCCAAAATTTTCATTTAAGTCTTTCGGGTTTTCGGCAATTTTTAGAGGGCGAAATTTAAGGGGCCCCTCGAATGAAATTTTTAAAAAATTGCTTGAACCCCGAAAACACCCCGGCTTGATTTCTGAAAAACGAAATTTTAAAAAAAGCCCCAAGTTAAAACGTTTCAAAGAAAAACAGCAGACTTTTCCCGGAAAAAACAGTAAACCCGGGGGGAACAACAATCCTTTTTGGGCAGGAAATCCGAGTTTTCCCCTGGTAAAAAACACTGACCAAAATTATTTGCTCGAAAATTTCCCAAACACAAAATGAAAAGATTTTAAAATGAAAATTTGAAATTGATTGGGTTCGCACAGGACCAAAAACAAAAACGGTTTCCCGGGCCCCAAAACCAAAAAGGGCCCCAAATTAAATTTTAAATTTTTTTTTCTTTAAAGGCAACGGCCCAAACGCCCCCTTTTAAAGCACTTAAGGTAAAAAACCCCAAATGATTTTTTGAAAAAAAAATTTACTTAAAATGAAAAAATTTGGGAACTAAACAAGGAACTTTCCCAAATTTGTAAATCCCCGGTTTTTTTGGCAAAAAAGCAAAAAAGATCGACATTTTGTTGGGAACATTTAAATTGGGGCCTTTTTTTTATGTCAAGGATACAAATTTCAAAAAAGTGAAACCAAATTTAACCCCAATTTTAAGGGGACGTTTCAGTAAGTTTTTTTGGTCGTTTTGTTTTGAACGACAGTATAAGTGTTTTTCATACTAAATTTCTTAAACCCCAAATAAAAAATAAACTTAAATTAAAGGGAATACTTTTTTTGGCTTTTTGAAAAAACAAATTAATCTATTTTAAAGGTTTTTTTAAAAATTACCAAAACCCAAACGTTTTATTTATCTTTGGTTAAATTTTAAACAAAATTTTTGCTTTGTAAAATTTTTTCTTTTTAAAATACTTTTTTTTTTTTATTTTCCCACAATTTTTTATGTAAAAACCGGATAAAAAAAAATTTACATTAAGATTAAAATATTTTTTTAAAAAATTTTGAAAATACTTAAAAACGTAAATTTTCTAAAAAAGGGCCCTTAAAATTTAAATTTTAACGTAGTAAATTAAAAACTTTTCTTTAAGAATTTTAAAACCTACATGTCTGCAAATTTAAAAAAATTTCCTTTTATTTCAAATTAAAAAAACATTCCCCGGTTAACATAAATGAAAATTTATTACTGAAAACCCCCTTTCCCCCTTAAGCATTTTGGCGTTTTAGAAATTAAAAAAACATTTAAAAGTAAACTATTTTTATGTACTTTTAAACGCTATTTTAAAAATAGTTTTTTGGGTTTTTGCCTTTTTTTTAAGGTATATATGTTTTTTTTTATTTTTGTAAAAAAGGCGTATAATAAATGAAGACCATTCCTTTTTAAATATGTTAAAATCCCATATATTTTTATATGCCCTTTTCATGAAATTTTGTTAGGCATTTTAGGGAAATTCCTAATTTGTCAAAAAATTTTTCCCCTAAAAATTATTTTTTTTTTCCCCCCCTTTCCCTCAAATACCCTTTTTTAAGAAATAAAATTTCTTTTTTACATTAGACCCAACGACCCCCCTTTCCTTATGGGAACAATCAATTTGGCAAAGACGTGAAAAGCCCCTTTTTGTTACTAATTTAATTATTATAACCTAGTTTTGAGAGGAACTATTATCTTATTTTCCTATCTTTTTTTTCGGAATTCAACTTTAAGAATTTTGAAAAAACAAAACATGCGTAACCTCCATACTTTTTTCTGGAATTCGTTATAAAGTTAAATTTTAATTTCCACAATTACACAATAATATGCAAG